CAGAGAGACAGAGAGACAGAGAGACAGAGAGACAGAGAGACAGAGAGACAGAGAGAGAAAAGAAGGCACAGTAGCACAGGAGGCACGTAGCTAGGGACAGCGAGACCGACGGAGATTGTAATATGTGTGTAAATTGTATATGTGAAGTATGTAAAGTCACCGTTTCCACACGTACCCTACTGCTGTTGCTGCTATAGATTGATTTTAAAGTGATCACGTGACCGTAAATAGTAAAATGAAAAAAAAATGTCTACTTTTCCACAAAATGCAAGTGATTCTGTTCACTTTTTATGGTTAAATTGCTGCATTGTACCTCCTATTTTGCTAAATTCTTTTCGATGTGAAGAAACACTCGCGTCTCATACGCAGTCCATAGCAAGCATTTAATGTCATGATCAATATATCAAATCGCCCAGAAACTGGTATGAATGTATGTTTTTTTGGACGCAGCTTTCAGTGCTTTTATCTTGAAGATGTTACACGTACGGGGGTAACGAACCGTTCCGCAGCTCTCTATGAAAAGCCGTGGTGCGTTAACGTGGGAATATTTCGCAGTGCAGTACGTCTTGTTATCTCGATTCCTCACAATATCGATGGTGCGGCGACAGGCACTGGGGTGTATTCATATTCATGTGCTTATATTGCATGGTGGCGTTTACGCTGCCGTTGAGGGAACATAGTCGGCATAGCCTGCTCAATACACAGCGCAGCATAATCGAATTACCCGTGTGGAAATCACGAACTTTGCACGATTATGCGACACTGTTTTCCCTCTGTCTGTTTTTAACTTTATCCCTCGCTGTTTTTCATTTTATCCTTCTCTGTTTGTTTATTCTTGTGTCAAATGCTAAAGTCTGTTATTTTCTTATTTGCTATACCATGCTTTACCATTCTATACCTTCATACATCATGCTATGATTCACCCTGGCACGCTATGTCATGCTATACGTCCCATGCTAATAAAGTTTATCTCAGTTAAATCAAAATTAAGTTAAAAAGAACTTACACCGAAGAAATTTTCGTACATCTCTCCGATATAATTCCTCAGACTTCCAAATATTATTCAATCATCATGCTATACGTCATTGTACCGTGCAATACCTCGCTATACTGTGCTATACCACTGTGCTATAAGTCACTACACCCTGCTGTATCATGTTACACTTTGTTACAGAATCATTCACGAGGATGGCTTTACGAAAGAAGACTGTTTGCTGTTTAAGCGTGTTGTCTACAGCAATACCGTTCAGAGTATAGTGGCGATCGTCAGAGCGATGGGTCAGCTAAAGATCAACTTTGCTGATTCGGACAGAGCGGTGAGTCAGCGTCTTCACATATCGAATTTTATACATCATGTCGCATAGCAGCATCTCTCTAGTCGTCACTCTGCGCCCATTATAGAGAAGCATGGGATCTTTCTGTGTGCACCCCTCTCCCCCGTCCCGAAACTATGAACTACTTCTGTTGGACGGCTTTCGATTTTTTCCACGTTAATCTTGGCGCTCTCGATCCATGATTTCGTTTCGATCGTGAATGGCCGCTCTTGTGTATTGACGATGGGCAGTCAAGGGGAAAAATTGTTGCTAAGAATGCTAATGTGTGAGTAAAAGGTGTGCAAGGAGTGAGGCCGAAATGAGCTAGCCTCGTTCCAAGGGGTTACAGTAAGCTAGTGCTGGTTTGTTAGCAAGGGTTTAGAAGGAGGCCGTGACTAGTGAGGGTTTACTAGAAGGCAGGACGCTAACACAGGCTTACTAGGAGATTTTTCTAGGCATTTTCTTTATGTTATTATCTTACGTTTACTATGCCTATATCAATTGGTATGTGCATATGCTTGGTTTGACATACGTGGGTACTAAGATTTCATGATCATCTATGATAAAATCTAAGATTTTTGTTAATTAATTGATAATATATTAAAGATTAAATAACTATATATATTATACAGGGGTAGAAAATAACTTTTGAACAAGGGAGTCCAACGGACTCTCTGCCCTCAAAAAGAGAGAGTCCGCAGCAAAATGAGGGAGTCCGTAGTCTAAAGTTCAAAATTAAAGATTTGCTGAAAAAATATGGTAATTCCGCGAGGCCGTGCCCTGGAACGAACTAGTTAGTATAGCAGAATTTTCAGGGAGTCAACGGACTCCTGCATATGTCAAATCAGGGAGTCCGACAGTAATTCAGGGAGCATTTCACTCCTGACTCGCGTTAATTTCGAACCCTGTATATATACATATTCGTCTGGTAAACATCTTTGCATGTGGAAAGTGTTCATTCAGGCACACGCAGCTGTTGGCATTTACAACTCATGAGGTTTAATTAAATTTCTCAACATATTTATGGCATAATAAACCTTGCTATAATTGCGTGAAATTTGAAGAACGTAACGGGTGAACGTCTGGAAATACGTAGATTACAATTTTCGATCGTTACGATTTGCTGCTATTTTAAGGTAAAATTTATGAAAGCCGTGTACATGCTTGTGTTTTATATGGACATGATTTTGATGTGGGTTATGAGTTTTTGTTGTCGATGAAACAACGGGGTATAACACTACTCGCAATTCATCTACATGCTAGTGACGTCCTCCAATGGGCAATTGGTCCATCTGTTAGTCATTTCTCTCGTCATCCGATTGCTTCATTTCCAGTTGATCTCAAGCTCAACAAGAGCAATCGGAGATAGCAAACCTTCGCCGCAGCGTAACAGTCCCCCCCCCCATCTTGCTGGTACACCCAATATAGTTTGATGAAATTTTCAGAAATTTAAAAAAAGATCGAGGATTTTTAGCTCAGCTGACGAAGTCAGATGCAGCTCGTAGAATCGCATGAATGTCCGTCCGTCCGTCCGTCTGTGTGTCAACAGTTACGGCACAAATCTTAACCGCTCGACGTACGATTTTATATTCGTGACGTCGGGGAAGATTGCGAAAAGGAGTCGGGATGTCGAATTTGGGGGTCAAGGGTCAAAGGTCAAGATGTGTCACCCAATGGAGGGGGAATATTTCCCCCTTAACTTAAAGGCATAATTCGACCATCGATTATGCAAAGTTGACGAATGCTACAGTAACTGGCACCTTGTGTAGTTAATAAGTACATTACCTTATAGCCAAACGCGTATTAGTTTGTCCAATATCACTGCTAATTACTAAGAAACATGTCTAATTGAAATCCGTAAATTTGGTAATCTGGCGACAACGCTAAATTTATTGCCAACTAAAATAACATCGAGTTCGTTCGGTGACCGTCGACATGTTGCTACAGGATGTGAGCATCGAATGTTTGTCCCGGGTAATATGGTTTGCCTAGTGTTATTATTGCCTAGTTGCCAGCATATTATATGTTGCTTTGTAATCTCCAAGAACTTCGTATATCTTTATTCCCCGAATCCACGAGAAAACCATAACGTACGGAATGCGCACTCAGACACAAGGATCGAAATCACTGCACGCCGAGCCATACGTTGCGAAATGTCCGGTGCACTATAACTGTATGAACACCGCCTTCCGGCGCGTTCCGCGTTACGCGCAAGCGGTTGAAACTGTCAACAACGATTTATTTGACCGCGGATTTCAATTGGATATTTCTTAGTAACGCAGCAGTGATAGTTGACAACTAAATACGCTTTTGCTATAAGTAATGTACTTATTAACTACACACAGGTGCAGTTTACTGTAGCATTCGTTAAAATTGCCATATCAATTGGTCGAATTATGCCTTTAAGGTATAGGAGTAAATACGGAATTGCGGCAACAAATCTTAACGGCTCGACCGCTACCAGCGCTCTTAATATTCGATGTATAGGTGATGGGAGGAAACCCATCACCAGTGCAAAATTGGAGTCACAGGTCAAGAGGCAGGGGGAAAGGTCAGATATCAGCATTTTCTGAGGACATGGTCTAACGGACCCGAGTGCAAAACGGTTTTTGTTTCAGCGTGGACCTACCGTTTTTTTCACTTTGTATTGAAAGGACCATGAAATCTACTTTCCGCTGACGTGCAAAGATCGAGTTTTAAGTTACCTTTTGATCTCCAAGAGGAGGTTAAACATGGATTGTGTGACTGTTTAACAAGGACTGAACTGCTTTTGCTATTACTCATTAGAGCCCCTCCCACCCGCCCTCGCCCTCCACTATTGCTAGGGTTAGGGTTAGGATAGGTTATTGCTGGGTTGTGGGTTTGGGTTAGTATAAGGGTTAGGGTTATAGTGAGGCTTTACACTCTAATTTTCCAGGACGATGCCAACGCGCTATTGCCATCTGGTCAGCGGCAACGGATGAAGGGTGGAGTTAACCCGCCCGGAGGCTGAGGTGAGAACATGGAAGATTGTGGCACGACGAGCATCCGCGCAGATCATCTCCAGCAGGGCCAGGGAGTACCAGCCTGAACGGACATCTGCTCCATAGTGAGTGTCAGCCGACGCAAGTAGTTTACTCTATCAGATAACGTGGAACACCACCGCTCACAATATAGTTACGGTCTTAACCTTACTCTCCCTTCTTCTGTGTTTATATGCCGATTATGCAGGCGGTTGACTGCTGCCCGCGGCGTACTAGTTAGATATATTATTTGCAATTTGGTAGGTGTTTCATGAGAACGTAGGTACGCACCTGTACCACGGGTCTGCCTTTCAGTCGCGTGTTTTGTTCACCCCTGTTTATGTTGCACATGGAAGGACAGCTCTGCTGCTGCTCGCTGCTCGGCTACTGGCTGGCTGCTGATGTTGTGTGGTTCGTTGTTGTTGTGCCCAACTGTTGTTGGTTTGTTGTTGGTTGTTCGCCACTGTTGTGTTGTTGTTGTGTGTTGTGTTGTTCGTCTGGTGTGTGTTGTTGGGTGTTGGTTCGTTGGTTGTTGTTGTTGTTGGTGTGTGTCCGTGTGCTAGTGCTGCTGCTACTGATGCGCCTACTCGCTGGCCCCCTTTTGCCCGCCCGGCGCCCCTGTTTGTTGTTGCACTGCTACTTTGTTGGTCGTTGTTGCTGCTGCTGACTGCTACTGTTGGTTGCTTCCGTTGTTGCTGCTGCTACTCGCTACTACTTGCTGGCTGTTTGCGGCTACCTGCGCTCGCGTTGTTGTTGCTGCTGCGACTATTTGTTGTCGTTGTGGGGCTACTCGTTACTGTGTTCTCGTTGTTGCTGGCTGCTATGCTAGTACTGCTGGCTGTTGCTGCTACTGCTGCTGCTGACTGCTGGCTAATTGTTGTTGCTGCTGCGGTACTCGGTTGTTGATCGTGTGTTGTTGCTTGCTAGCTGCGCTACTGATACACTCCGCCTACTCCTGCTCCCTGCGTACTGCTGACTCGCTGCGTGCTGACTCGCTGCTGGCTACTCCTGGCCACTATTCGTCACTGGCCACTATTCGCTAGGCGTGTTGCTGCTACTCGGCTACTCGCTACTGAGCGTACTGCAACTGGCTCTGCTACGGCGCTACTGCTAGCTGCTGCTGCTATTTTGCTCGCTGGCTACTGCTACTGCCTACCGCTGACTGCTAGCGCTAGCTGCTGCTACTGCTACTGTGCTACCTGGCTGCCTGCACCTCTGCTGCTACTCACTCATTCACTGTTGCTGTCTAGTCGGGGCTAGCTGCACTGCTACGCCACTATTGGCACTACTCACTGGCTACTGCTGGCTACTGCCACTATTGCTACTGTTGCGCTGCTGCTGCTGCTGCTGGCTCTGCTGGACTGCACTCCGCTGCTGCTCGCTGCTACTGGGCCACTATTGCTACTGCTGCTGCTGGCTGCTGCTACGCACTGCTCACACTAACTGCTCCTGTGTCTTGCTGACCCGTTCGCGTGCGTTGGCTTATTCATCTCTGCACTTGCGCGCTGCACGCTGTGGGCCGGGATCCGGGATGCTGTGTCTCGGCCAGTTTCCGCACAGCAGATGGCATTCATGCGGAACATGGCATCGCTGTGTCTGGTTACTAAGCTAGTCTGTGCATCCATGAAGCTTGCTCTTCATTCTCATTGATTTGTGTGCTATCGCGCGGTTTATGCGAGCCCTTCGTTGTAGCTCGCAGCGCCCGTACTCCTTAGCATGTCAGGCGTTTCTGTATATTCTATCGATTTTACTGGGTGTCGTGGTTTCCCCCTCTGTGCGCAAATCTCCAGAACAGAATTGTCCGAGTACGGATGAAGAAGAGAGAGAGGCTCTCTCTAGCGAAAAGTTTAGCAAGCTAACGAGAGGTATGACGAGAGAGAAAGATGCCGAAAGCACCGAGACAGCCGCAGAAAGAGCGAAGAGCGTCTCTTCTGCCAGAGTAGACTCGAGTCGAATGCAATGCGTCCGAGAGAGATGAGAGGGGGCTCGTGTGTGGGTCATTCGTTTCGGCGAACATGAAATAAGTCAAAGGATCCACCTAGTTCAGAGACCAGTAGAACGACATCCTCGTACATCATGGATGAGACAAAATACTCAGTAATCGTCTCTCTTGTGCTCAATTGTCTGCTAGAGACGGCACGGTCCTTAATCCCCAACAAGGTCTCGTCATAGAACCCTCGCGGCGCATTTACATTCCCTCATCCCAGTTTGCTCCAAAGCAATCTTCAATGAGACAGACCAGAGCATCAGTCTTTCCTACATTTCTCCTCCGGTCATTCTGCTCGGCTCATCCAAACAGCACGTGCAGCTCCAGAAGAAGCGAGCGTCTAGCTCGTTGTGCTCCGATTGTTTCGCATTGAAGGGCTCATACTCGCCTGTCCGTGCAAAATCTCGGAGATCATGGCCAGGCATTCGCCATCCCGGCGGTGTGCTTTCCTCTTCAACTTCCCTCCGGCAACCAAGCGGCCAGTCTTCTGCGTCCACTCCTCTCGCCTCCCTTAGCCTCCACTTGCATGAATCGAATACCTCAGCCACTGAACCGCGAGCATATGGTTCAGGGCCCCCACAGGCTACCCGTATCCCATCCTTACTCCTCACGGTCACCGGTCTAGCTGTGAGACTATCAGTTTCCTGCCAGTTCATTAGCTACTGACAGTTCGTCTTATCACTAGCTACGTTGAAGCATAATTAGTATTGATTATGCAGATCATCCGTATCAGTTCAGATGTCTAAGCAGATAGCGTAGCACGTTTATTTTCGCAGCAGCAGCTAGCGACGCAGTCAGCACCAGTCAGCAAGTGAGTGGCAGTAGGGCAGCGATGTTCGAGCTATAGTTCCAGTAGCAATAGGTGGCAGTCCCATGCTCTTAGTTCATCCGCACTAATGCCACTCATATGGCATGCCATACCGTAGTGTCGCATATTCAGTGGCATGGCTTATCTCGCTCACGCAGTCCGCTCAGTAGCAGTTAGCATGCATCCCTCCCATAGTTCGCCGTAGCATTAGGCACTACTGCCAGCTTCACGCTAAGTCAGTCGCAGGTCTTTACTCACGTCAGGTCCGAGGCGGATCTGACTCTCCTCCACCTCTCTTCTTTCCGGCAGTCCTCCGCAACCCCCGTCCAATACTTAATCCCATATAATTATCCGTCTGTCCCTCCGGTCCCACTAGTAGCAATAGGGAGGCTCGTATAGCTTCATCTACTGCTCTTCCAGCATCTGCACGTTCACTTCATCTCACATCACATCATACCACGTAATCTCCTCAGCCGTCACATATCTCAAAAAAAAGCCCGTAGCAGCAGTACGCAGCAACCAATCAGATCGGGGCCACAACCAGGTAGCCACGCATTCTCGGTGCCTCATCTCAAGCATCTCAACTACCTCAGACGACCAGAGGCTCTCACAGCAGTAGACGCATCAACTCTCTCCCAGTCCCTCTCAGCTCATCTCTCAAGCGCTAGTCCAGTAGCACCACCACAGAACACGACAGACTGACACCGTTTACCCACAAGACAACAAGCTAGCAGCAACAACAAGCGCACAGTCACTCTCTGACTATCTGCTCTCTCGGCCCCTCTCCTCGACTCTCTCTCGACCCCCCCTCAGTTTTCTCACTCGCTAGCCTTCTCTCGTCTCACGTCTCTGCGTACAAACGATCGCTAACTATGTGTGACTCAATTGCAATAGTAAGCGAGTGAATGTGATGGGAATCGTCTTTATTAGAAGCCATTTCGACTACTAGCTCAGCATTCCGCATTTCATTATCACACGATGCGATAAGCCCGTCCTCCCCCCCCGCGATACAACTCCGGTCTTACGAGTAGTTTGTAATCATGCGCGGGCACTAATTAGTTCTCTGCGATGGCGGAGGCTGGGTACGAAGAAGCTGCGGGGGATGCGGGTAATGAAGGCAGTCCCTGAGTGCGTGCTTGACGATGAACGGCCGTGTGAGAATTCTCCGCGGGCTGCACGCTGTGGCTCACGGACTCGCGTTGTTGCAATGTTTCCTGTCCGTACAGGCTGTTGTTACGGCATGGATGAGTCCGGCAAATCTCCACTGTTAATGTTATGCTTAGCAGTAACAGGCAGCGGTCCCTTACGCATTATCACAAGCAGGATGATGCGAGCGTTCCAAGTTTGTGCACGCATCGAGTGGCTCATGTTTGTGCATGGCGCGTCACTACTGGCGTTATTGCATGGGCATATACGGGGAGTAGATAATAGATAGATCTTCCTATTATCTAACAGTACTGCTGATTAATTCAAGAGGTACGATATAATAGAGATCCTCTATATATGTACATCTATAATAGTACATCTCTATGTTGTACTCTTGATTATATGCGCTGTGTTCTGATTCACGTCTAGTGCGGACCAATATTAGAGACAGGCCTGCCTGGATAGTATTAGTAAGGGTCAGTGTAGAAAGATGATAGGGTTTAAGGTGGGTGAATGCAAAATAATGGAGTGAGGGAGGAATAGAGGAGGGATGTAAGGGGGAGAGGGAGAGCAAGAGAGAGGGAGAGAGAGAGAGAGAGAGAGAACAGAGAGGGCAAGAGAGAGCGAAAGAGAAGAGATGCGAGACGAGACCAAGAAGAGAGAGAGGGCGAGAGAGAGAGAGAGAGAGAGAGAAAGAGAGAGAGAGAGGGCAAAAGAAAGAGAGAGAGAGAGAGAGAGAGAGAGGGCGAGAGAGCGAGAGAGAGAAGAGAGAGAGAGAGAGAGAGGAGAGAGAGAGAGGAGAGAGAGAGAGCACGAGAGAGAGAGAGAGAGATAGAAAGAAGGTGAGATACAGTAAACGGGCAGTACTCATATATGATTCGTGTCTGTTTATGTTTCAGCTACTTGAACTCGTTGGACATCATTGCATCACCAGAATACGTTCCATCTGTTGAGGATGTCTTACGAACCCGCGTGAAAACTACTGGAATCGTTGAAACTCACTTCCAGTTCAAAGGCCTCTATTTCAAGTAAAGTTTGATCTAACGTATTCGTTGGAAACTGCTCTATTGTAGTTTTAAGCTGCTAAATACTGTATACGCCATATTTTTCGAGTACAGATATTTTCGCGAATTCAGACTCGACGGACAATTTCGCGAGTGGTTAATTTCGCGGTCGGTGAATTATGAATTATTTGGTATGAATTATTCGCATGTTATTATTTTCGCGGTCGAGGACGCGTTCGCGAAATTCGCGAAAATTAAACCACCGCGAAATATACAGCGTATACAGTAATCTAAAGAACGCTAGAGTTAACAGCGGCAATCCTGTGTGGAAGGTTTATCTGTGAATATATCATGATTAATTTGCCCTTAATTAAATCTGGCCGGCAGGTACTTTTGAGACTCGTGTAAATGTGCTTTTGTCGGCGGATGAGATAACTGAATTCACTCATCCAATGAATTTAGAAAATACAAGAACAAAAATTGTTAATTGGAAAATACAAAATAACTATTCACGAGTATATTCTGTGAATGTTTGACGTAGGTGTGGGGGGGGCACACAATGAAAAAGCCTCGTTAAGATGCTCTATCATACAATATTAAGAGGATGTTTTTATATGTAATGGTGGGATAAATTAACCCAATCCCCACTTTTTTACATAACACCCCTAAAATTAACGTAACACCACAACACAAATAAGTTATTTAGATTTCCTAGGTTTATTTAAGGCAATTCCCTATGTTATTTAAAACAACTCCTCTATTAATAAGGCTCCAAATTCGAAGAGCACTAAATATGAATGAAATTTTTGGTGGGCCTCAAAGCTCAACCTCAGTATTCAGTTTCATGCAATAACTACCCTATCCATTCAAAAACCTGAGAAACCTCCCTGATGCATGCTCTGTGTACATACGGTGTGCAGCAGGGGTAGAAATAAACTTTTGAACAAGGGAGTCCTCCGTTCCCTACCCTCAAAAGGAGGGAGTCCGCAGCAAAATGAGGGAGTCCGTAGTTCGAAGTTCAAAATGAAAGATTTGCTGAAAAAATACGGTAATTCTGCGAGGCCGTGCTCTGGAACGAACTAGTTAGTATAGCAGAATTTTCAGGGAGTCACACGGTTTCCTGCATATGTCAAATCAGGGAGTCCGACAGTAAATCTGGGAGTATTTGACTCCGGACTCGCATTAATTTTGCACCCTGTGTGTGTCCAGGATGTTCGATGTCGGCGGCCAACGATCGGAAAGGAAGAAGTGGATCCACTGCTTCGAGGGGGTGACAGCAATCATCTTCTGTGTGGCAATGAGTGGATACGACCTGGTGCTAGCAGAGGACGAGGAGATGGTACGTGGTGCTTTTTCTTCTTCTCGGGTCACTACACTGCACTCGGCCTAGCCACTGCAGCACACAGGACCTGGCACGGTGGTTAGGTTGTAGGTTATAGGTGTTGTAGGTTGCAGTTGTTGTTTGTTGTTTGTTGTTTGTTGTTTGTTGTTTGTGGTTGTTGTTGTGTTGTAGGTTGCACGGTGGTAGGTTGAAAGCCTCAAGGTCTCCAGGGCTACAGGGCTGTGGTAATAGCTAGGGGGCATTCCAGGTGCTAAACAACGAGATGTTGTGGTGGGGAGGCAAGGGATAGCGATATGTGTGTATGTGTATACATAGAGTGAAAGGTAGAGAGAGATGAGATAGAAGTGGAAGGAGAACAAAGGGGGGAAGCAGTGATATTGGACAAACTAATACGCGTTTGGCTATAAGGTAATGTACTTATTAACTACACAAGGTGCCAGTTACTGTAGCATTCGTCAACTTTGCATAATCGATGGTCGAATTATGCCTTTAAGGTATAGGAGTAAATACGGAATTGCGGCACAAATCTTAACGGCTCGACCTACGCTCTTAATATTCGATGTATAGTGTGATGGGGAGGAAACCCATCACCAGTGCAAAATTGGAGGTCACAGGTCAAAGGGCAGGGGGGAAAGGTCAGATATCAGACATTTTCTGAGGACATGGTCTAACGGACCGAGTGCAAAACGTTTTTGTTTCAGCGTGGACCTACCGTTTTTATCACTTTATTGAAAGGACCATGAAATCTACTTTCCGCTGACGTGCAAAGATCGAGTTTTAAGTTACCTTTTGACTCTCAAGAGGAGGGTTAAACATGGATTTGTTGACTGTTAACAAAGGACTGAACTGCTTTTGCTATTACTATTAGAGCCCCCTCCACCCGCCCCTCCCCCTCACTATTGCTAGGGTTAGGGTTAGGGATAGGGTTATTGCTAGGGTTGGGGTTTGGGTTAGTATAAGGGTTAGGGTTATAGTGAGCTTTACCACTCTAATTTTCCAGGACGATGCCAAGCAGCTATTTGCACTGGTCAGTGCAACGGATGAAGGTGAGTTAACGCCGGAGCTGAGTGAAACCATGAAGAGGTTGTGGCACGACGACGGCATGCAATCATGCTTCAGCAGGGCCAGGGAGTACCAGCTGAACGACTCTGCTCCATAGTGAGTGTCACCGACGCATAGTTTATCTCTACAAAACGTGGAACAACCGCTCACAATATATTTACGTCTTAACCTTACTCTCCCTTCTGTGTTTCATTGCCATATATGCAGCGTTGACTGCTCGCGGCGTACTAGGTTAGATATATATTGCAATTTGGTGTAGGTTTCATGATAACGTAGGTACGCTACTGTACCACGGGTCTGCGCTTTCAATCGCGTGTTTTGTTCAGCTGTTTAATGTGCAATGAAAGGCACAGCTGCTGCTGCTGCTGCTGCTGCTACTGCTGCTGCTGCTGTTGTTGTTGTTGTTGTTGCTACTGTTGTTGTTGTTGCCACTGTTGTTGTTGTTGTTGTTGTTGTTGTTGTTGTTGTTGTTGTTGTTGGTGGTGTTGTTGTTGGTGTTGTTGTTGTTGTTGTTGTTGTTGTTGTTGTCGTTGCTGGTGCTGCTGCTACTGGTGCTGCTACTGCTGCTGCTGTTGTTGTTGCTACTGCTACTGTTGTTGTCGTTGTTGCTGCTGCTACTGCTACTGTTGTTGTCGTTGTTGCTGCTGCTACTGCTACTACTGCTGCTGTTGCTGCTACTGCTGCTGTTGTTGTTGCTGCTGCTACTATTGTTGTCGTTGTGGCTACTGTTACTGTTGTTCTCGTTGTTGCTGCTGCTACTGCTACTACTGCTGCTGTTGCTGCTACTGCTGCTGCTACTGCTGCTATTGTTGTTGCTGCTGCTACTGTTGTTGTCGTTGTTGTTGCTGCTACTGCTGCTACTGCTACTACTGCTACTACTGCTACTATTACGAACAGGTTCGGTTCTGAGCGGTCGTTCGTAAGTCGAACATATGTACCTACGTATACAGTATTGTACAGTAGTGTAGTATATGTACGTGTGAACATCGAGTAACCTAGAAGTGTACATAGTGTAAACATATACGTGAACACAGGAGTTGGCGAAAGTCAAAATCAGGGGGGGGTGATTGTGTCTTTTTTTTCACAAATTTTGACATTATACACTAATGGACTTCAGGGCAAATTGTTTGTATCATCGAACGTTCGTAACTCGAATTTTTGTAAGTCGGAGAGTCTCTGTATCCCGCTCACAATGAATGGTTGCTGTGCTTGGTTTCAGAATCGGATGATAGAAAGCATGAAGCTGTTTGATTCCATCTGCAATAACAAGTGGTTCACGGAGACCTCCATCATCCTGTTTCTCAACAAGAAAGATCTGTTTGAGGAGAAGATTAAGAACAGCCCTCTGACGATATGTTTCCCAGAGTACACAGGTAACACTGAATCTGATTTTCCCTCTGACGATATGTTTCCCAGAGTACACTGGTAACACTGAATCTGATTTTTCATGTAGTCTAGTTGTTCTTAGTATAGTATAGTGTAGTGTGGTGCGGTGCGATGTAGCATATAGCATGGACTAGCATAGTATAACATACATTTTGCTTTACATTCTGGGGTCTGGTAACCCCCCCCCCCCATCTTCTTAGCTGGCTGCCCCCCTGCTGGCTGCCTTGCCCGCTGCCTGTCTGTGTACCCTGTTAGCTGCCCTGTTGGCTGCCCTGTTGGCTGCCCTGTTGGCTGCTCTGTTGGCTGCCCTGTTGGCTGCCCTGTTGGCTGCCCTGTTGGCAGCTCTGTTGGCTGCCCTGTTGGCTGCCCTGTT